ACACACACACACACTCAGACAGGACAAGACAGACAGCTGAAGAGAGAGAGGTATCATACAAACCCCTTTTTATTTTATACTGGGTTCATCCTAGCTCCCTAAAACCAATAGACCAGCTCAGGCTCTAGAAAGTGGATATGAACACACACTTTAACTGACCCTTGTAGTCCATATGCTCACATGCTGGAGAAACTCTACACAACTAAATAGGTTGTAAAAGCAGCCCACGTGTTGGGCTTTAAGCCCTGTGAGACTGTTGTATAATTAATCTTTATATAGATACGTCTAACACCTGTCTTTTGCTATTTGCAGTCGAGGCAACACATGCTTAACAATTTGAATTTAGTGAGAACACAAAAGCACAGTGCTGAAGCTACACAAGCTGGAGTGCTGAAGTCAGACAGTTTCTGTATTTATGTTCTCATGCAGACAATACAGAAGGATGTCATCTCCCCTCAGCTGTTTATATTAAACTGTATATGATTTGACATTAAGACACAGCAACTCATCTTTTTGTGGCTTAAGAACAAGCTGTTCTTAAGCCACACTTTTACCGTCAGCTGGCTCTCTTCTGGGGCTCAGATCTGACTGGTCGCTGTTCGGCAATGAGTGGATGAGAAGCGCTATTCAGATTTGAGTTGTAAGATACTGTAGAGGGGATGGCCCTTACTGTACTATCAGACAAATACTTATTAACTGTACAAACAGTACTGAATGAAAAAAATGTTGGTATTTAGCACTGTGGGGACACATTATGAGGTGTTATGTGGTGTCACATAAAGGATAACGGGACTTTACAGTTTATATTATCTACAAATTAGTCCAGAGCTACTTAAGTTAAGTTAAGTTAATGCAAGATTTTAAATACTTTCTACCTTTGCTGCTGGGAAACTAGGCTACAAACTAGACTAGATTTATGACATCAAGAGGAGAACCTAAACTTAGTTTCTATCTAACGCATACCATTCACAGCTAGCATGAAGGACCTTCTGCTTCAGACCCTTCCCTTTCACCCTGAGCAGGTTAAAGCTGTCTAGTGGTTTAGGGACCATTAGACACATAACACTATGCTCCTCTAAAGAGCAAACAAAGGGAGAGGAGAGGAAAGGCAAGGAGAGCGGAAAGAGGTGAGAAGATGGAAGGAAAAAAGTAAGGAAGACAAGGGTATAAAAGAGGAAAGACGACGAAGGAGCAGTTCAGGAGAGTGCAGGAAGGTTGGTCAGAGAAAAGAAAGAAAACAGAAATAATGAATAAAAACAAAGAATGAGAAGTTGCCACACATGTAAAGAGAAAAACAGTTCATTACATTCAACAGACAGAATGGAAAGAAATAACACACAAACAAACACTGCACACAACATGTACACATACACAGTGAAAACATCTGAAATG